CAAGGTATACAGTGCTGCATCTCCTCTTGTCTTTCGTGGGTTCAGCTTTCAGACACCCTTCACAAGGCATGTACAGTGCTGCATCTCCTCTTGTCTTTCACTTGTCCTTCTTCCTGGGAAAGGTGAATATTAGTTTCTTCAGAGGTATTTTATGTATTTAAAGGCAAATACACATATCTGAGTAGCTCTTTTGCCCTTTTATGAAAGATAGTAATATGCCTTGAACAATATTCTACATCTAGCCTTTTAAAAATGTGATACTAGAATTTGAACTTTGAGCCTTATGCTCAATTGCTTAGTCTACTGACATTCTGCCACTTGAGCCATGCTGTAGGCCCTGTTTTTTGCTGGTTAATTTAGAAATGGAGTCTCATAGACATTTTTGCCCAGGCTGGCTTTGAACTGGGATCCTTTTAATTCAACCTCTTCAGTCGCTAAGATTGCACATGTGAGCCACCAGTGCCCAGCTAAACTTAGATTTGTTAACTTGGAAATTATCCCATGCTAGTATATTATATATGCCATTTTCTTGAAAAAGCTGTAATTTTTAACTATTAACATTCAGCAGTTTAGTAACTATTTCAAGACATTTTGCATGAGGCAAAGAAAGAAAGAAAGGAAGGGAGGGAGGGAAAATTAATGTAACCGATGGCATTGTGGAAGGTAAATTATAGAAAATTATTGGATGATATTTCACTTTTTTTTTTTTTTGGTTCCGGTCATGGGGCCTGAGCTCTGGGCCTGGGTGCTGTCCCTCAGCTATTCAGCTCAAGGATAACGCTCTACCACTGCGCCACTTCCAGATTTTTTTTCTTTTTGCATATGTGGTGCTGAGGAATCGAACCCAGGGCCTCAGGCATGCAAGGCAAGCGCTCTACCACTGAGCCACCTTCCCAGCCCCCGATATTTCACTTTTTCAATTGTAAAATCATCCATTAATTTAAAGGGAGGATTCATGAAGATTTTATACTTTGATTCTTGGATGTTCTTTTCACCAAAGTTTTTTCAGTTGTCCTGGCTAACTCCACACTGTAGGAATATGTAATGGAAAGAATATGAGAATTGTAGCAAGAGAAAGTGGTTGGATTTATGTAAGTGTTGGGCAAAAAGCAGAGTGAAATGTGAAATAGAGCTAGGACACAGAAGGAAGAGCAAATAGAGGTTGTAGAGAGGAAATTAACTAAACTTTCTGTGTTGGGGATCAGTGAGACATTTTCACTGCAGCCACCTACCCCATGGCTGGAAAGAAAGATCTGATGTCCTGAAAATCTTTGTATTTGATGACATTGTAAGACATGATTGTTGGTCATCGATATGACTAGAGGAAGAATGTATAGAGAAAAGATGATTAAAGCTGGAACCCGGGGAGCTGCTAATATGGGGAGCTAGCAAAGCAGCCCCTGAAGTAGACTGGAAAGATTCTGTCAGTTGGAAATTGCATCCAACTTTTTCCAAAGAAGAAGTTGATGTCAGTGGTGAGTACTGTCACACTCCACAGGAAGTGGGAAGAAAATGAATTATAAGTGTTTATTTATGTTATTAATATCAGACTTTGAGAAGTCTGGATTATGGTGGAGAGCCCTCTAGTGGAAGGGAGAATGGTATTCTTCAGCTAGAAAGAGCTCAGAAAAGAACGTGAATGTGAATGTGGCAAAAAGGCTTTTCCTCCTTTAATGTGATGTGATTATTGCAGGAAAGGGATTCAGGAGGAGTTAGTTTTTTTCTCATATATTTTAGAAAAACGTTGAGAAAGTAATATAGAGGTAGTAATGTGCCTTTTCATTTATATCAGAAATATCTTTCTATATTAATACATACCCATTTGCGAAGCTCATAGAATTTTTAAAAAATCTTTGGGAGAAACTTCTTTTTCTGATGCTCTCAGGGTTTGAAGTCAGGGTCTGTCACTAAACGGAAGTTGTTGCTGGGTTCATGGTACCCTGCCACGTTCTAATCGCCTGCCATGGCTGGCCTGGAAATTCCATCTTCCTGTTCACAGCCTCCCAAGCAGCTAAGATTACAGTGTAAGCTCTGCTTAAGAAAACTTCAAAGAATTTAAATATATACACAGAGCAGGTGATGGCTTAATGACTTTAAAAAGTAAAGAAACCCACATAACATCTTCCATGTAAGTTATAGAACATTGCTGGTCACCTCATAAACCTTCCTTATCCTCAACCTTTTCCCTCCTGTATAGATACCAGTGTTCTTGTTTGTATCCCTGTAGATTAGTTATATGTATTTTTTAACTTTTTTTTTTTTTTTGGTCAGTCATGGAGCTTGAACTAGGCCTCGGAGCTGTCCCTGAACTCTTAAGCTCAAGGCTAGCACTCTACCTCTTGAACCACAGTGCCACTTCTGGCTTTTTCTGTTTATGTGGTGCTAAGGAATCGAACCCAGGGCCTCATGCATGCGAGGCAAGCACTTTACTGCTGAGCCACTTTCCCAGCCTTTTTAAACTTTTTTATGAAGTGAATTGCATAACTGTGTGATCTTACAGCCTTTTGTTTGTCAGTGTTATTTTTGTGAAATGTATCTTTGTGTTTGCATTTAACAGATAACTTCTTTGTATTTGGTATATTAGTCTGTAAAGTAGGATGTGTAGCTATGGCACCGTATTCTACCGTTGGCAAGCATTTAGTTCTCTGCACTGGATCCTGTTTAGGGTAGTATTATATTATGAAGCTTCTTGTGCATATCTTTTGAACTTGTTCCTATTGCACACATACACATTTTTGTGGGCTGTGTATTGAATAAAGACATTGCTAGTTAACAAGACATTGCTCAGTAGATCTTATCTAGCTGTTTTCTGAAGTAGCCCTGTCATTTTACCCTTGCATCAGATTTCAATATTTCTCCATGTCCTTGCTAATACTTAGTTTTAATGGCCTTTTGTTTGACTGCTTTGTTTTTTTGATTGTTATGTTGGGTTTTAATAGCTTTTTAAAAAGTAGTATTTTTAAGTGTGCCATTATTTGGTTATATTCATATGCCATAATTTAATGTCTTTTGCTGGGCACTGGTGGCTCACACCTGTAATCCTAACTACTCAGGAGAGTGAGATCTGAAGATCAAGGTTCAAAGCCAGCCAGAGCAGAAATTTCTTCCAATTAAGTAGCAAAATGCTGGGCTGAAGGCATGGCTCACGTGGTAGTGTGTCAATTGTGAACAAAAAAAGTTAAGGAAGACTGTGAGACCCTGAGTGTAACCCCTAGTACTGGCACAAGGGAAGGGAAAGAATAAGATAGAAGGGGAAAAAATCAAGTCCTCTAATGAGTTTTTGTCTTCTTTCCCTCCCTAGCATCTCAGATCCTGAGCAGCCCTAAAAGCTGTGTGCTTCTATGTGTGCCCTTAACTGTGAGAAAGATTGAATGTTGGAATAAACTAACAGAACTGATAGCTTATTCTTTCTTAATGTTTTCCTCAAAATTTCTGTTTTGGAATGTATGGTGCCAATATAAAGAATCGATGTAAAATAGTTTCGTTTGACTTCTAATATGAAAGTCAATTTTTTATTTCATGGTAGTAAATGGTTATAATCTTATTTTGAGAATAATATAAAAAAATACCATGTTGTCTGTTCACTGTTTCTAAGTCTGTGAGACTCAGTAGGGGCCTGCTTCTCATGAATTAAATGCATTTGCCAGATCTGCTTCTTCTCTTAGTGCGATTGCATCATGATAGCCTCTCTTCCAGTTGGTCATTAGAGTTTTAAACAAGTTGGCACATGTAGCATTCAGTAGTGTGCAGTTACCACAGATATTCCTTGAGAGGGTTTCAGGTCTTGGTAACTCTCTGCCGTGGTCTTTTGGAAAGCGCTCTGTAGATTTACTATACACCTTTTTGTCTTCACTAATACTTTTTGCTTTTGCCAGTTGTATATTGATTTATTCACTTTTTTCAGAAAACCTATGATCAGAATGAGCAATTGATTCTCACACTAGTAAGTTCTAGACATGCCTTTTTTTTTTTCACATGTGAGGACTATGCACATTTCTAAGTAACTGCTGACAAAGAACTACTTCATGATAACTGAGAGCTACCACTGTATATTTTATCCCCTGGGTGGAGGAGAATATGTGTTAACATTTTTAGCTGCTGAGATTTCTTTATAGAGGTCATATTGAGCATATGTTTAAAATTCTGCCAATTCTTCTATATACTAATGGTAATAAGTCTAAAATGTTTCAATGAATTAGCAAAGAAGCCAGAAACATTATTGAAGACAGTATTTTCAATGACCTCTCTTTCCTACTCCCTAAATCTTTAAATCAATGTCAGTAATAAGTATAATAAGTAGCAAAACTTGCTGACTTGTTTTTTTTTCTCTCAATATCTGTTAAAAATTCTAATATTCTAAACTAAATATGGTTGGAGGACAGTGGTCATTCTGATAGAAACTGTTGATTTGGAATGTCTTCATTTATCTCATGTCAAGTACTTGGGTTGGAGATTAATCTTAGAAGCCACTGTTAAAAGCATTGGTCAGTGGGCTGGGAAGGTGGCTCAGTGGTAGAGGGCTTGCCTTGCATGCATGAGACCCTGGGTTCGATTCCTCAGCACCACATAGCAAAAAGAAAAAATGCTGGAAGTGGCGCTGTGGCTCAAATGGCAGAGCGCTTGTCTTGAGCTGAAGAGCTGAGGGACAGTGCCCAGGCTCAGAGTTAAGGCCCCACAACCGGACCCAATAAATAAATAAATAAATAAAAGTATTGGTCAGTTAGATGCCTTGACTTCTAATGTAGATGATTTCTTTTCTTTTTTTTTTTTTTTTGATATTTCCATAGAAAATGTATTAACTCTAACATGAGCCTGGTAAGGATTCCGAGTGTGCTCTGGCCGGTGCAGTGAGCCAGCACAGCATTAAGGAGCTTGCTCAAGTTGTAGCTTCCTTACACGGTGACATGGAGAGCAAAGCACCCTATAACTAGAACCAGCAGAACCCTCTTTTCTCTACTGTAGTTTCAGTACCCCCAAAAGCTATTTTTCTTTCTCCTCAGGTATCAGTCAGAGCCGGATCTCTCATTGGCTGTTGCAGCAGGGGTCAGACCTTAGTGAACAGAAGAAAAGAGCCTTTTACCGATGGTACCAACTTGAGAAGACAAATCCTGGTAAACATTGTTGCCTTTTATTTATTGTACCTGAAACAAAATTAATTATTCCTTTGGCTTCATACTAACTTACTCAGTAAAGTAGTTTCATACTTCATTGTTGGGCATTTATCCCAGTAAACACATACACAGACACACACACACACACAGACACACACACACCCCACAACCACCACAAATGTAAGAAAGAATGTAGGAGCTGGGCACTGGTGGCCAGCAATCCTAATTACTCAGGTGGCTGAGATCTGAGGATTGCTGTTCAAAGCCTGCCAGAGCAGGAAAGTCTGTGAAACTCTTACCTCCATTTAACTACCAGAAAACCAGAAGTGGAGCTTTGGCTCTAAGTGCAAGAGTGCTAGCCTTGAGCAAAAAAGCTCAGGGACAGCACCCAGGTCCCAAGTTCAAGCCCATGACTAACAAAAAAAAAGAAAGGGGGAGGGGAGAGGGAGGGAAAGAGGAAAACATTTCACACACACACACACACACACACACACACACACACACACACAATCAGTTCATTGTTCATTTCAAGATTATACAGAACAAGGTTCATGAATGATAAAAGAAAATCTAAAGAAAACCACAAAATTTAAAACAAAATCTTTTTTTCATCTATAAACTTAAGTATTTGAAAACAAACAAAATGTGTGCATATACTCTGTGTCTCTGTTCTTGGCCTTAATGCATTTCTGTTCATATACCCAGAGTGATGTTCTTTTTATCACTCTCTTCACTTTGTACCCACACGGGCTTCTCTCTTTTCCCTCCCTCCCTCCCTTCTTTTTTTTTTTTTCTTAAAGCTTCTCTTTAACTGGACTCAAAAAAGAGAAGAACAGATATTTAGGTTAATTTTACCAATAATCGAATAGCTGTAGATACAGTGGAGTTCTCTGATAAACAAACCCATCATCAGAATTTCCCAGCACAACTCAAAGCCTGCCAAGACTTATAAATAAAAGAGGCTGATGGAAACTAATCACATGCACTTTATCTTGTTTCTTATGAAAACATTTACAAGAAAATGCGTAGTTTTTTTTGAAGAAGCAAGTACTAAATTCAGTGTGTCTGACATCAAAAGAGCCCCTTTATTTAATCAAACTAAGTTCAACATCTTTTCTGATGTCTAATTTAAACATTGCTGTAGCACACAAGGTTTGCTGAGCACCTCTTGGCTCATGCCGCTGGTTCTATATACTTCAAAATTAAACAACTAAAGTCTGACAGGATGCTTATGCAGCAAGTACATGAAGTAAATGTGGAGACAACAATAAATGGCTGCTACTAATTAGAGCTTGGGGAAATAGACCCATGGCATAGGAGAACATGAAAAATTACTTTAAGAAAAGCTAGCTTCTATGGATAGAGCAGTAATAATGTGTTTGTATTTGTTCTTTTTATAAGCTGATTAATAAAGGCCTACCTATGCCCGGCACCAGGGGCTCACACTTGTAATCCTAGCTACTCATAAGAGCTGAGATTTGAGGATGATGTTTAAAGCCAGCCCAAAGCCAGCCTGGGCAGGGAAGGCCTTGAGACTCTTATCTCCAGTAAACCACTCAGAAAACTGGGAGTGGCACTGTGGCTCAAGTGGTAGAGTGTTACCCTTGAGCTGAAGAGCTGAGGGCCAGCTTTTGGGCCCAGAGTTCAAGCTCTATGACTGACAAAAAAAAAATAAAAAATAAAGGCTTACTAGATCTAATCCTGGTAAACAAGATAATTATATATACATGGAAATTTCTTTTTAAAAGAAATCTATTGGCAAGATATGAGAGATTTTTTTTTCTCTTATGAGTTTAGAATAGCTAGATGAAAGTAACACAGTTTTGTTTTAATGGGAGCTCAGATGTAATGAAAATAAATGTTTCTATACAGAAATAAATGTTGACCTGGCTCATAATACATGGCTATAATATCAGCACTGAGGAGGCTAGAATAGATAGATTGAGAGTTTGAGGCCAGTTTGGACTACATAATATTGAGACCTAAAAGAAGAAGAAGGAGGAGGAGGAAGAGAAAGGGGAGACGAGAGGAAGAAAGTTTATTTTCTGGTGAGAGTGGCATTTAGCCAGCCCAGAAGTTCCATGTTTTACTTCTAAGGAGTTTTAAGGCTTTTATACAATGTTTTTGCATCTAGTATCTTTCTATCTTTTTTTAAGAGTCAGTAATTTTGAGTTTGTTCTTTGTGTCGCTCATAGCATCTACTTGGACCTAGTTCACCTTGTTTTAAGCCAATAATCTCTAAAGCATTATATGATGACACATTTGATCAGTTGAGAAAGAAGGGAAATATTTAGTTTATATCATATACCAGAGAGCATTAAAACACAAGATAGAAACTATCAAAATATTCTGAATGAGATTGTAACCCATGTGCCATTATTGGAAATATTGACATAATTGACTGCATCACAAAGACCATAAACAGAAAGACAAATGACAAATGCAATTAGTCTGTATGACTACCAATTGATGCAGTTCCTACTTAAGAGTAGAACAAGGGATAAAAGATTAAAAAAAAAACATGCAATAATCAAAAAACAGAAAAAGGTTCTTACACTAGTCATAAAATCTCCTATCTTTAAGAGAATTTTTTCCCAAAATGTATGCACTTGAATAACTAATACAGTCCTCAGGGTATGGGTAGATATGAGGAATAAACAACTGGGGATGGTTGTAGTGATGTGTGTTAGTAAGTAATCCATGATCATATGGTAACTTACCCCACAAGGTAGTGGCTTAACACAACATTTATTTTCTTGGCTTGTATAGATTGGCTGCAGGAGTGCTCAAGACAGGAGCTTCAGGATCAGTGTTCTCATCAGATTTCAGACACTGGAAATGGACAGTCCCCTTGCAAATCTGCACATGGATATTGCAAGCCCTGGCAAACTGCTTGTTGGATGGCCTCGCCATCCACTGCCCAAGTGTCTATACAAATTGCAACTAGTTCTCTTGAGAAAATAATCAAGTGGAAGGAAGAAGGAAAGAGAGAGAGTGCAATAACTAAGACAGAAGCCACGTTGTCTCCTATAATCTAGTCCTGGAGGTATCATACCATCAGTACCACATGCTGTTAGTTACACAGACTAATCATGGTACAGTATGGGCAAGTTCTGCACAGTGGCATAGATAACCAAGGGCGGAGGTCAGTGGGGCCTTTGGAGGGTGGCTACTATATGTCAATCTTGAGACAGAATGGCTGAGTCCTTGTTTCTCTGGGTCAGCCAGGTTCCACATAAAGTCTGCTATAGCTGGAGTATTTGAGATGGCGCTTCGGTCCAGTCCTGTGGCTCCTGGTCAGAGTAGAGGATTAGCGGCATAGCTATAAGGTCATGTGGCCTCTCCACGTGGATACCTTGGGTTTCTTTACATCAGAGTCTCAAGTTGGCCAGACTTCTTTCTTTAAAAAAAAACTTCTTTCTGAAACTTAGGCAGAAGGTACAAAGTTATCTGTGACCTGTCACTGAACTCTCTTCATTTTCTTCATCAACAGCTCAGATCTAAGAGCCTGATTACTAGGAGGGATGGCTTGTTGTGAAGGTTTGTCTTTGGAACCTATCCCAGGAAGTTATGATTGTGAGATGATACTGGTTTGTTCTAAGGTGGTAGCAACACTAACTTGATACTGATTTTGATAGATGTAATTAATTGAATTCATTTATTTATTTTTACTGTTGAATAGTAACAAAGTCAAAGATAAGTCTTGAGAGTTTTGAGCTGAGCAATTTGAAAAATGGGGTCTGTTTACTGAGATGGAAAAGACTGCATGAAAATCAGAGCAGGAGAGTGGTACATGATTATAATCCAGGCATTTGGTGGATGGAACCAGGAAGAGCAGAAGTTTAAGACCATTGTGGTTTTTGTAGCAAGCTCAAGGCCAGCCTGGTAGTGAGACTTGTCTCAATAAAAGGGATAGGGCTGCTGCCTGGCGCACTGGTTCATACTGTAGTCCCAGCTACTTGGGACGCTGCAGGTAGGAAGATAATTGAGGCCAAGAGTGAAAGGTCATCCTGAGCAACATGGCAAGACCTTGTCTCAAAAACAAGGAAAGAGCCGGTGGCCGGTGGCTCACGCCTATAATCCTAGCTTCTCAGGAAGCTGATATCTGAGGATCGCTGTTCAAAGCCAGCCCAGGCAGGAAAGCCCGTGAGACTCTTATCTCCAATAAACCACTAGAAAACTGGAAGTGGCCTGTAGCTCCAGTGGTAGAGCGCTAGCCTTGAGCTGAAGAGCTGAAGGACAGTGCCTAGGCCCAGAGTTCAAGCCCCATGATAGACCAAAAAAAAAAAGAAGAAGAAGAAGGAAAGATGTGGATATGAAGGGATAGAGGCAGGGGAAGAGGGAAGAGAGATGGAAGAGAGCTACAGTAAACCTATTATGGACTGAAATAGAAACACTAACCAGGGTGTTACTCAAATACTCTCAGAGTTTATTCCTATTAATAGGTATTAATTGACATCTGTTAACATATGCATAAGCTCCACAAGGTCTGACCTGCCTTGTAAGTCTATAGTAAGGATTTGGATTAAACCATAAACAAAGGGGACTTGTTTTGCCTGCCCAGGGGGTTGAACTCAGGGCTTGGGCACTGTCTCTGAGCTCTTTCACCCAAGGCTAGCACTCTTACCACCTTGGGCCACAGTGCTCTTTCTGGTTAATTAGAGACAAGAGTCTCAGACTTTCCTGCTCAGGCTGGCTTTGAACTGTGATCCTTAGATCTCAGCCTCCTGAGTAGGTAGACATGAGCAACCTGGTACTTGGCCAACATTTTTTTTTTTTAACCAAAGGAATCAAATGATTATAATTACACTTTGAGGAGATGAGTTTAACAGTGTAAGGAGAGAAAGAAAGGAAAAGGGGCTAGGGACTGAGCTCTGAAGACACATGCTGTTCAAATTCAAGAAATAGTAGAGGTCATTGTATTCTTTTTTGTTGTTGGTGGTAGTGGTCATGGGGCTTGAACTCTGGGCCTGGGTACTGTCCCTCAGCTCTTCAGCTCAATGCTAGTACTCTACCACTTCCGGTTTTCTAGTAGTTTATTGGAGATAAGAGTATCACGAACTTTTCCTTCCCAGGCTGGCTTTGAACCGTGATCCTCAGATCTTAGCCTCCAGAGTAGCTAGGATTACAGGCATGAGGCACTGGCGCCAGGCCATTGCATTCTTATATTTGAGCCTACAGTAAAGCCTAGGTGTAAAGAAAGGAGTAAAGAAAGGCGATGGAGAGGGTGGAGAGGAGCTGGACTGTGTGGGGAGAGGATGAGCCCTGCACCAAGGCAAAGTGCAAAGTTTACATCCATGAATATTAGCCAAGAAAATACAAGGTAGACGTACATACACTAGGTAAGGGTACAGAGGAGGTCTACAAGACACACTGCCTTTGTTCTGATTCACTTTTGTGTATGTGCATGTGTGCATATGCGTATGTCTGGGGCTTGAACTCAGACCTTTGGTACTGTCCTTGAGCTTTTTTGATCAAGGATAATACTCTACCACTTGAGTCACAGCTCCACTTCCAGCTTTTTGGTGGTTAATTGGAGATAAGTGTTTCATGGACTTCCCTGCCCAACTGGCTTCCAACTGTGATCTTCAGATCTCAGCCTTCTGTGTAGCTAGGATTGCAGGTATAAGCCACTGGCTCTGATTCACTTTGTAAGGAAGAATTTTTTTACCTCTTCAACTTTTTATTTTGGTCACTGTTTTTAAAAATGGGAATATTAAATATATTGGCCTACAAGTTTCAATAGAAGAACAAAATTTATTGTACTCATTTATTCTTGTTTTCATGATATTTTGTTATTTTGATTTTTAATAAATAGCAAGATATCTGCTGAAAACCTCTTGTTTATTTTAGGGGCTACATTAAGTATGAGACCTGCCCCGATTTCAATAGAGGACCTTGAATGGAGACAAACACCTCCCCCTGTCTCTGCCACATCTGGGACCTTCCGTCTCCGACGAGGGAGTCGATTTACCTGGAGAAAGGAGTGTCTGGCTGTCATGGAAAGGTACATGTCTGCTTTTCCTAAGACATTTCCCAAACTTAGGAAAGAAAGGAAGCTTGGCTAGCTTAGGACAGTTTTTATTTCCAGAAAGTAATTTGGAATAAGAATTCTATCTCTGTGAGTATTTTGGTGTGTTTTAAGTGTGTATTATTGAAATAAATTGAGAAATCATAAAATAGGAATTCACATCTAGCCACTAATTTTACTTATAATTTAGTAGTGCTCTTAGTAATTTAAGAAACTTTTAAAAGATGTATTTGACATTATGTCTTTCGTATTTTGAAAAAAAATCTTTTTGAGGTATATTTATCCAAAATACTGGGTAATTATAAAGGAGGCCCTCGTTGAGCTTTGCTCAGCAAGGAGGCCGGTCTCATGGCACGCGCTCCCACAGGTTAGAAAGTACCTGTTTTTAATTTTGATTCGGTAGTTTGTCCTCTCACTCTTACCACCGGTACCCAAACCATACTCGGTACTCAACAATTTTCTGACCTTAGCCTCATTTTTCACATCTGACATGGTATAAATGCATGCTTATAAAATGTTTGCTATAGTTAGCTGAAGCCCTACGATATTATCCTCTTAGTTACCTCCTAAAGTGTTCTCTATGGAATTCTGTTTTGATGAAGAAGTTTATAAGCAGTAGAGTGTCATATTTTCCTGTTTCTTGTCATATTCGAATTCCCTAAATGCTAACTATTTTGCCTACTACATATCTTCATGCTTGATTCATAGTAGATATACATTATTCCCATATATAAGAATATATGAATGTATAATATTATATAGAAGTAATGCTTTTTCCTTTCTCCTGAGCTAATTACATTGTTTATTCCACATATTTGACTTTTGATGTTTTTTTCTCCACATATTTGACTTGAAAACATTCTATTATGAAAACATTTATTATCACAAAGAACAATATTATATGATTCCACTTAGAGGAAATATCCAGAATAATCTAATCTATAGAAATCTAATCTAGGGGCTGGGAAGGTGGCTCAGTGGTAGAGCACTTGCCTTGCATGCCTGAGGCCCTGGGTTCGATTCCTCAGCACCACATAAGCAAAAAGAAAAAAGCTGGAAGTGATGCTATGGCTCAAGTGGTAGAGCGCTAGTCTTGAGCTGAAGAGCTAAGGGGCAGCACCCAGACCCAGAGTTCAGGCCCCACGACCGGACCCAAAAAAAAAAAAAAAGAAAAGAAAAGAAATCTAATCTAGGCTGAGGAAAACAGAGGACTTGAGCCTGGCCATAACAAAGGTATATGTGGCTTCATTGGGGGAAGGGAGAAAATTTCTAAAATTCAGTGTAGTGATACACAACTTTATAAATATATGAAAAGTGTTGAACACTTCAAATGGGTAAATGGTTTAGTATTTGGATTATATCTCAATTAAACTGCTTAGAAGGGAAACATGTAGTATACTATTCAGCTTCACAGATACTGACCTTCCACATTTGATGCTCACTACAGTCCTTTTCAAATGAAGTAACAGGAACTCACAAAGGTAAAATAACTTCCTTGGGCTGACAGATCTAATAAATAGCCAAGCGACATGTACATCTCTAGATAGCGTTAATCATAGATTAACTGAGAAGAATGCAATTTTCATTTGAGTATGCACTTTTTTTTAACATATAAACTTGGCTTTGGTTAACACTAGAGTCTGATTTTGCTAGGTTAACATGTATTGCAACCTTGTATTAGTTTAAGAGCACATGAGAATTTAAGTAGGGAAAAGATGAGTGCTGAAATGATGATTGCTGGCCCTGGAAAGTAGGTATGGGCTTACTAGACTCATACAAGCAATTTTTTTTTCATATTTACGAAGATTTTTGTTGTTAGTTTTGTAGAAGATCTGACTTGAATTGCAATGAATAAAAGAGAATGAGATTATTGATGAATACTCATTGGCTCCTTTATGAAGTATTTGTTATGTGTTAGCAGTAACCTAGGCTACCTCAAGTAGTTTACATATGTGCAAGGGGGGGCTGAGTCATCTGCCCTTGAGAAATTTACGTCTGTAAATCCTGTGAACTCACCTGTGACTCCTGTTTCATAATCCTATCCCTTTGTTCATTCATTAGATCAGCTACTTCCTAGCTGCATGACAAAGTGCTAGTGAGAGAATAGAAATAATTCAGGCCATTTGAAATGAGTAAAAGATGATGCGCCCAGTAGATCTGAAAAGAGAGCTGAGTGAGCAGTTGTGCAGACCTTGCGGCCTAGGAACCAGGCTTCCAATGGCCTCTCCTTTCATCTGTAGGGATTACCTGTAGCTTTGGCAGCAGCTCTTTCTCTGTGGTTGTAGAGTCTGAGACTGACACACAGAACAATGAGACCTGGGTGTTGCACCTTTCTTGACTCAAGGGAGGAAGATAGAATGGAATTTCTAAACCTTATGGATTGTTCTACCAAATGAAGCAAGGTAGGAAGAAAGTAGCAACTTGGAAAAGCTTGGCCAGATACAGGAATGCATTTGACAGTGTATAGCAATAACAGAAGCAACAGGACACAGTGTTAAGATGACCAGCTTTGGAATCAAGTTTTCACAGAAAGGTTACTTATTGCTCTTATTTCTAGTTGAAGTGGCTGAATGAAGACTCTATATTTGAGTATTTCCACAAGGATGGAAATGAAGACAAATGTATGTGTCTGGGTGTGTTTGCAATTAAAACTTATTGCATCTTTTACTCTACTTAGGGAACAGTATATCTGTAATACTTTTTTTGTTCTTACATTCCATATTCATCTTTGATGAACAATATAAAAGCAGTAAGAGATTCGGAGCACTGAAATTTTAAAGAACACATTTTTTTTGTTCTTTTAACATTTATAATCTTCAAAGCAGTTTTTTTTTTTGGGGGGGGGGTCGGTTGTGGGCCTTGAACTCTGGGCCTGGGCGCTGTTCCTCAGCTCTTCAGCTCAAGGTTAGCGCTCTACCACTTGAGCTACAGCGCCACTTCCATTTTTCTGGTGGTGGTTTATTAGAGATAAGAGTTTCACAGAGACTCCTGCCCGGTCTGGCTTTGAACCGCGATCCTCAGATCTCAGCCTCCTGAGTAGCTAGGATTACAGGCATGAGCCACCGGCACCCGGCTTTCAAAGTAGTTTTTAAAATTAATCCAAAATATTCTTCCCAGAAGACCAAGGACCAATATTAAAAACTAGTTTGAGGATGTCTCTTCACCCCAAATTTAAGCATCTAAAAATAGATTCTTAGAAAAATATGTGCCTTTATGAACAAAAATAACATCACAACCATAATACTTTTAACAAACCCAAATTAAATCTTAGCTCCAAAGTTGTGTCCTTGCTGTTAATGTGACATGTTTATAATGTTATTTAGAGACATGTGCATAATACAGAAATGCATTTTATACAAGCGTGTTATACATCCTGAGAGAATTAGCATGGAAGAGACAAATCAGCTTATAAAGCATGTTTCTACATTGTTGCTTGAGGTTTCTGTAATTTAATTCTCTTGGTCTTTACTGCATTTTGGAATTCTTCCCAGGGCAGTTTATTAGTACTTGGATTTTGATTTTAGTCTCTTTCCTTTTTCCTCTTTACTTTTAATTTTTTTCAGCGAACACTTAGACTGTGAAGGTTAAGAAGACCAATAGTTCCAGAAACTAAATTCTATATTTAACTACAGACTGGGTGTGGTTCAAACAACTGCAGAGCCAGCTTGCCTAGTGTTTTGCCAGTCATTATAATCCCAACCTGCAAAAAGAGCATTTCTTTTCCTAGTCTTCTAACTGAAATATGCTCAATTATGGTATGATGATACAGGGCATATGTTTTGGTATGTGTAAATAAGATGAAGACAAAGGAGACTCATAAGTTCAAGCTCTGAGTAGCTTCGGAAGATCTGTGTCTTCAGTGTTCTTATATAGCAATTTTCAAAACAGTAATCTGCTCTCTTTTTTTGTTGTTGTTACTGCTTACTGTTATTTTATTGACTTAAATTACCATTGTGAGGTTTTAAACAGTTTACTTAGGAAGTCTTTCTCCACTTCTGATCCCATTTCTTGAAGTCAAATTTGTCTTTTAATCTGCGTTTCATTTTGTTTCATTCATTCTGTTCTTTGTAGTCCTAAGATTGCAGTCAGGGCCTTGCGTGTGCTAGGCAAATGCTCTATCTACCACTTGGTCCATGCCCCCAGTATAAAATGCGGAAGACTGATCTGATCAGTGGATTCTCCCCTTGGTGGACTCATGATGGGATGGCATTATTGGTAGCTGGGGCGAGGTAGGAGGTGGAGCCTAGTTGGGAGAAGTAGGTCCCAGGAGCCATGCTCTTGGGGCTTTATATTGCCTTGGCTCCTTCCTGTATCCCCTTTCTCTTCCTCCTAACCACCATGATGGAACTGCTGTATTTCACCATGCCTTCCCCTCCACGGTGAAGCAGCACCTCCGAAATTTAAGCTAAAATAAATCTTTCTTCCCTATGTTTCTGTCAGTGATAAAATTTCTTTCTTCTTTCTTCTACATTCAGCTTTGAAGCAGATCCTATTTCATTTGAAAAACAAATTTACTGAGTGCTGGTAGTTCACACCTATAATCCTAGCTACTCAGGAGGCTGAGATCTGATAATCATGGATCGAAACCAGCCTGGTCAAGAAAGCCAACAACACCGTCCAGTTGGTAATCAGAAAAGCCAGAAGTGGAGCTGTGGCTCAAGTGGTATAGAGAAGTTTGTGCAACATATCTCAGGAACAGCACCCAGGTCCTGAGTTCAAGCACCAGGACCAGCACCAACTGCCCCCCCCCCCCAAAAAAAAAGTTGGTCAATATATTTCCCCAAACAATTAGTAAATGTAAAATTTCTAACGATCCTTCTAGTTTCTAAAACTGTATCACTCTTAGATGTTAAATAATTTCTTAATTTGTGTGGAGATTGTTCATTTTTGAGGCCCCATGGCTATGGATAGGAAAATATTTCCCACTCCAGCATTAAATCTTTTACATTTTCCCCAACTTTACACGAGTTACATCT